TTCCAATCTATTTCTTATTTTACTTTTTAATTTTTTAAATTGAAACATTAATTGTTTATGTCCATAAAACAAAACTAATAAACACATATCAAAAAGCTACACATTTTTTTTTTCTTTTTTTAGTATGACAGATATTTACAGATGAAAAATGATTGATACCCCAAATTTTTTTCTATAATCCAACTCATAACGATGTAGTCATAAGTGTCAATTTTTATACAAATACGAGAAGAGAATTAATTAAATTATACATTTCAACCAACCACATACTCAAACTTTGACTATTTCAATATGTTATTTCACTATAATTCCAATTAAGAGAATTTTCAACCATTAATATATTTTTTTATTAAATTATAATTTGATAAAAATTTAAAAATATGAAAGGTTGAAAATTATTATTTTTTCTATCGAAATTGGTGAAAAGAAAAAAAAATGAGAAAATAATGAAAGTTCTTTTAAAAATTGATAAAATTTTAACAAAAAAGTTTAAGTAATTCAAATCGAATCAAAATTTTTATTCAAATTTAAAATCAAATTAGATAAAAAAAAAATTAAAAGAAAATGATGAAAGTTTGAAAATATTTTGAAACCTTCTTATTCATAAAAACTGGAAATCCGCGTGTGTATTATATTCATATTGTATTTTTAGTTATGAAATTGAAATCAAAAGAAATGTAACCTAAATTATTGGATTAATAATAGATGCATCATATTAATTATTGTTAAATATAACTTCATGTCATATTTAATAATAAAATTATATATTTGTTTTAATTATAACTTTTAAATTTGTGTATTTTCATAACAAGAATAGGTATGTCATAATTCAGATAATCTCATTTAATCAGGTTTAACTTTTTTTTAATACAAATTATCAAAATTGCACTAAATATATTTATATATATATATATATATATTTTAATTTTTTAAACTAATAATTTAAAAAGTTATAAATATAAAACTTAGCTTATAAATTTCAATGTATACCGCAAGATAAAATATTAAATTATTTCAAGATAATTACAATGATTTTTTTTTTAATTTATAAAATCTCGTACATAACACGGGTTACCACTAATATATAATAAAACAAAATGGCATAAAAGAAGCAAACCGAAGTCTATACTAGACAGTGCCCTTAAAACAGATTCGCTACATCACCGATTGGGGTGCTGGAGGTTGTTCGACATCTGTCTCCCAGGATATGACAGTTGGACTAGCTACAGCGAAGCATGTACGGTGTAGCTTCGGCGAACAGAACTGAAGTAGCAGTCTCTCACTAGGAAGAATATAAAATTGGAGGAAAATTTCGGATTATAAAAGTAGAGTAAAGTTTCTGGTGTTGAAAACTGAAGGAGAGGGTCTCCTTTTATACACATGGAGAGAGAGAGAGAGAGAGAGAGAGAGAGAGAGAGAGAGAGAGAGAGAGAGAGAGAGGAAAAGGCTCATGCCATCAGGGCCCATCACAAATGTAGAAATGAATTTTGTATTAACCTGCAAAATTGATGGATTAAAGTCCATCATGAATAGAGAAGTTCCAGCTCTATTATACACATGTGTTTTGCGTATATTTTTCTACAACCCACATATCTGGCTTGGCCCAAAAAAATTAAGATGGGTGGGCGAAGCCCAACCCCCACACTCAATCCAGTCCTTCAAGCTTCAAGCCTTGGACTCGGATTGGTTCGGGCGAGCGGGCAGCGTGTGGCAATTTTTCCATAACTAACTTGGACCATAGTCTTGGCCCAAGTCCATCATTGAAACATCCATAATTTCATTCTTTCGGAAAATATGGATGCCCCAAAGGGCTCACACCCTTAGGCAAAATATAAAATTTAAATACCTATCAATGTTCTCTTCTACAATCAATGTGAGATAGAAATTTTACACATTTCCCAACACCTCTTTCATGAGACCAACTTAATGAATCAATTTTTCATTCAAATCTTAATAGTTTTTTGTCATTCTTTTTGTGGTATAAAGATCTCACTATAAAGAATCTAAACCCATTTTAATCCATCTCAATTGAGGATTGACACCCACTTTAATATTACATTAAAATCACCAAAAATCATTATTTTTTCAACAAAGGATACTACTGTAGTCTATTCGGTACTCAAAATACTTTCTCGTCACAAAGATCACATTAGAATGATTTCTATAATTTTTGTGTAAACTCACAACTTTGCTACTGTAGTCCATTCGATACACAAAATACTTTCTCGTCACAAAGATCACTTTGGAATGATTTCTATAATTTTTGTGTAAACTCACAACTTTATTTAGAATTTCGTGATCTTGACAGTACATCGTGTGATTACTGACATGAGATTCCATTTATTGATATTTATGTGACAAAAAAGAGACTGGAGAAGTCTCTTCGTGTGCAGTCCGAAATGTCAAATATTCGGCCAAATCAAACTTAGGCCTTACTTTCTATCACACTTAGGCCTCACATAAATATCTATGAAAGAGAGAGTATATCACATTAACTCAATTACATAACGTATCCCATTACATAAAGGGTATAGTTTCTGTCCAGTTCAGAATCGAATTGAATTGTGCTGTTGGCTTGTGGGATTTGTCATGGGTCCCATTTTGATAATCTGAATCGTCACTGTGCAGAGCTCGTCGAGTACTATATGCCTGTAAAAAATCACGTTGATCGGATATTGATAGCTATATGATCAAATCAATTTTGTATTAAAAAAATTAGACGGTGAACAAATTAACGGTTGACAAAAAACTGTTTTGATCACATAACTATCGATATCCGATCAACGTGATTTTTTACAGGCATATAATACTCGACGAGTTCTACACATTGAACGGTTCAGATTATCAAAACGAGACCTGTGATGGACCTCACCGTGTTTTTTGTGCACCTTGCCTGTGCAATTTTTCTAAAAAAGTCAGCTCTATGTCTGTGAAGACGTCAAAGTTGTTTGCAATAATTTCATGTAAAATTAATTTTTATATATTTTTTTGATAAATAATAATAACTTTTTAATTCTTTTAATGACTTTTTAAATTTTTTGGGACATGTCAAACCACACCTTAATTTAAAGCTATGAAACATTTTGGAAAAATTACTCATAAATCCCATTTTGATAAATGTTGCTCTAGTTAGTCCTGAGTGTTTTTTCTTAAACCATTTAGTCTTTTTTATGATTTCCCTTCTTTTTGAACATCAACAAACATCAACTACATCATCAACATCAACAACGCTATCAAACATTATTCATCAAACATCAAACATTATTCAACATCACCAACATCAAACATCAAACATTATCCAACATCACCAACATCAAACATTATTCTATTCAACATCAAACAATAGATCAAATCAAACGACGGATAAGGTGCACTATTTGGATTACAATCCAAATAGTGGATAGTCCCCCCTCCTAATCCCCCCAATCAAACACACCCAAAGGGTATAGTTTCTGTCCAGTTCAGAATCGAATTGAATCGTGTTGTTGGCTTGTGGGATTTATCATGGGTCTCATTTTGATAATCTGAATCGTCACTGTGCAAAGCTCGTCGAGTACTATATGCCTGTAAAAAATCACGTTGATCGGATATTGATAGCTATATGATCAAATCAATTTCGTATTAAAAAAATTAGACGGTGAACAAATTAACGGTTGACAAAAAACTGTTTTGATCACATAGCTATCGATATCCGATCAACGTGATTTTTTACAGGCATATAATACTCGACGAGTTCTACACATTGAAACGGTTCAGATTATCAAAACGAGACCCGTGATGGACCTCCACAGGCCCAACAACACGGTTCAATCCGATCCCGGACTGGACAGAAGCCATACCCTTACATAAAATACTTTAATCATTTTAATCATCTTTTAATATAATTGGACCAATTGGCAATTTAAACTTTATTTAAAAATTTAAACTTCATTAGGCTCGTTTGTGAATAGGTTTTTTAGTTACTTTTTAACTTTTTGTTAAAATATGATGTAAAAAAATTAATATGTTTGGGATGATTTTTTAATTTTTTATAAAAAGATGTGCAAAAAATATTTGATTTTTTGATATAAATTATTAATTTTTTAATTTTTTTATTTTTTTTTACACTTTTTAACTAAAATCACCACCTGCTAAAATGTTCTTTTGTAAGTGGAACTCCTCAAATGTTAAAATCATGAGAATCCTGAATTACATTTACATTTTCATTTCCCTCATATTTATTATAATTCAAACATAACTTAAAATTAAGAACCAAAATAATCCAAACTAGAGTACCTAATAAAAAATAAATAAAGTATAATATATCATGTAAACATCACCATTTTATAATTTTTAACTATAAAATTACTAATCAAGCTTGATTTAGGCATTGTTTGGGAACTTGGTTTGGGGCTAAAATAGCCACAAAAAACAAAATAGGCTATTTTAGCCACAAAAAACAAAACATCAAATCCAACCCATAATCATTACAATCCTCTCTCACAAAAAAAGCAAAAAAAGTCAAAAAGCCAAAAAGTCCTTCCCAAACCAGGCTAAAATAACCCAGGCTAAAATAGCCAAAAAGCCAAAAAGCCAACCCACTTCCCAAACGGAGGCTTATTCAACTTGTTAACCAATTCTATTAAATCTTTATCATGACATAACTGATTGAACGTATGATCTAATCAGTTTTAACTTTTGAAAACTTTCTTTCGCCCCGAAGCAATTGCAACAACAATAGTAAACAGTATTTTATACAAAATTCATTCATTCGAAAAAACAACCATCCATCAATTTTAAATAATCCACCACATTAGTAAGCTTTTTATTTTTCTTTTTAGGAGGCCTTTTTTCTTAAAATTTATTCATAAACAAGTATAACAGTAAATATATTTTTGAAGCCTTTTTTAAGGGATGGTTTGAAATGATCTAAATAAGTATACTTTTTTACTTTTTATGAAATATGAATTGAATATGAATTGGATTTGAAATGATGTGATAAAGAGATGATGAGACTTAAATAAGATGTGACTTTTTGACTTTTTTAAATTATGACAAACATGACTTAAATTTCAAAAATCCAAAGCAGCCACTTACTCGGCGCCAGCACTACAATAACATATTGCACATATGGCATAATCATATATATTATACATATCTGTAGGTTTTTTTTTTTTGAGGAAAAAAAAAAAAAAATCTAATTTTATATCTATAGTTCAACACAAAGGTTTCAAGGAAAAAATGCAGCATGCCCACATTCATAATCTTCATTTTATTTATTTATGTATCGATTTTAGGCCGAATCTCAATGCCCTCAACAACGAGGCCATACTTCCAGTTACCTCGTTCAATCTCCATCAATTGCATCACCACTTCTCCGTCATCTCCTTGATCATTGAAAAACTCTCCCAGTTGAATCTCCATCCACTTGTCCTTCCTCTCCTGGGGAAACCGTCCACTTAGTCCTTCGCTTGTCACAGGTGTCAATGGCTGTTTCAAATAAACAGTGCTGCTCTTCTCTTCTTCATCACCAACCAATCTAACCGATGCTTTTGCTGGGAGGGATTCAAATCCTTGGTTAGCTTGTACAAATTTGAATACAAGAAATGCTACGTATGTGGTTTTTGGGGACAGCAATCGAGTCTCTATTTTGCCTTTAATATCGAGCCAACAGACTGACACAAGCTCCGCTACTTCTGAGAATCTGCACGTACTAAAACTATATGCACGTAAGAAAGTGAAATATGAACGTTTACCACAGACTGATATAAACAAAACCACGTGTGCGCGCACACGCAGAGGCAGGGAAGGAGACCTTGATTGAGGTAAAGATCCCCAAGGTAAAGATCTCCATGCCCAATATATTGGAGTATCTCCCCATACTATAGTAAGCCCCCGAGCTCCTAGCATATAACATTTTTTCCGACTCTCTTTATCCAAACTGAAGCTCTGAATACAAAAAGAAAGAATATTAAAATTAACAAAAATTGAAGCACAAGCTCAATTAATAGAAGCAACACATTTGCAGCCAAAATTTAGCAAAAGCACTTCTTAAATTGATAGCTTACTCTCCAAAATATTGTGCCGAGGATTCACAGTTGGATTGCCGCAATTCTGTTTTTCAAAATTTTGCTTTTAAGTTTGGAATGATGATTTCGACCTTTTGCTTTCATTGCCACAGTAATAGGAAGGGTAAACAGGAAAGTAAAATGAGAATATATTGTCTCCCCCAACATATCATATTTTAAGCTACAGATTCACTAATTAAATAAGTTCGGTAAGGCTCAAGTTTGCATTAACAATAATCCTAAATGGTCAAGGGAAAGGGTAAAACACTTTCCCTCTTTTTAACTACTATATATATACTAGTAGTTTGCACACGTGATGCATGTGCAATCCGAAAAAAAGTAATAGTATAAGAATGATGACAAAGAGGAATGCACATGTAGAATGTGTTGTTCAATTGGTAAATGTCTTCTCTATCAAACTCATTATCTCAGTTTTGAGTCCCGTCATCCTCTTAATATAATTTTTACATAAACACCAACTATAGGGATATGTTAGGAAAACCTAAAATATGAGACATCAACACCATCACAAGCCTTCGCATATATAATAATACAAACCTTCACATATATAATAATATAGATATATGCATTTTTCACATGCATAATTAGTTTACCAGAGTTGTTCTCCCATCCACCGTATGGAGTGGTTATCATCTCTATTTTTATTTCTCATTTCTTATTTTTGTAGTGAGTATGGAAGGTGATAAAAAGTCAATAAGAGAGATTCATATAATGTTATTAATAGTTATAGTCTTACCACTGCTACGGCTACCATTACAAGAGCAACAATCATTACTTGTAATAATGAATGTGTCAACAATGTATTAGTTTAATGGCTCTGTCTTAATGTCACATAACCAAACCAATGATTGGTGACACAAATGGAATCCGAAGTTTGGTACCCAAATCTGAACGCTGTAGCATTACTGATCAAAAGCTATAATAATAAGTTAAGGAGCCAACAAGTTACCTGTGAATTAAGGTGAATTTCACCCTCTGCAGTGTGAACCCGCCTCAATTGTTATCAACTTATAAGTTTCAAATTTAACATGGTTCAATAGGAAAATTCTACTTTGACAAATTTTTAGAAAATTATAAGATATCCCCATGGGTTCTTTGATAGCTACCAATTTAGCCACATTCAATTTTTATATATTTTCTATTAGAATATCATTAGTCAATTCAATAACCATAGTTTCACTGCCCCAACACACAACATTCATGGGTGCATAAATATATACATGTATATCAATTTAAACATAAACACAAACACCATATATCCATATATATTTAGTTCAAAAAAAATATATATCTATATATATTCTATTATATAAAGCACATAATTCAAAAAAAATATTTGAAGCTCCTGTCACATTTTTTTCTCCTAAGAATGTCTATATTGTTAACTACTCTGGCAAATAATTGTGAACACATTTCAAATTTAACCCATCTTCCTCATTCATCAAATTGCCAAAAAAAATTAGATGTAAAATTAAAAAATATCAAGTTTGCATCCACCACTAGTTATATTATAAAGAAAACTCCTTAGGCGTAAACCAAAAGTAAAACTGGGTAAGATCATCTCTAATCCCCTCTCTCTCTCAATGTGAGTAAAATTTTGGTTACAAACTTGATCCGGTATGAAACACTCCAATACTTTTTTTCTTTTCAACAAATCTTTTCAAAAAATTTCAAACTTATCCTAAAACTTATTTTAATGAATAAAATCATTTTCAACCTTTCCTCTTTTTACAATTTTATCAAATTTTGATTATAACTATGACGGTCGAAAATTTGGTGAAGGATTGGTTAATTCTTGATTTAATAAAAATTTTGACTCCCCTTTAATTTAATACAAGTTTGATGAAAGGATTAGTGAAAGAATGGAGATAATCTAACACTTTTTTTCCAAAATTGCCAATAGAATTAATGTTTTTTACAATGTAAAATTAATTATTTTAATTACCTGCAAAGAGCAAACATATCATCATTATCATAAACTATAAGTTAACCAAACATTTCAAACAGAGAACTGCTAACTCTGCTTCAACCTTTTTTTCTTGTAAAACTTATTTAATTGACACTTGTGTGTGCCACACTTTATATAATAGATATATATATATATATACATATTGTGTGTTGTACACAATAGAATAAAATAATATATTATTCTCAAATTACATATATTATTCAACATAGTATATTATTCCATTCTATTGTGTACAACACAATATATGTATATATATAATATATAAAGCTTAAAAGCCCATTGAAACTTTATCACAATTTTTTCATTCTCAAATTGTTCCCAATTCACTCATTTTTAATTTTAATTTTTAAACATCAAATTTGTGTAACTAGCTCAATTTCTTTTCTTTTCGTCTATATATATATATAATCAAATCGACCAATTGATTTTCATAGCACACTCATTGAGTGTGCACACCTTTTAATACATATATCTTTTATCTATTTATCTATCTATCTATACTATTATACAAAGAAAGTTGTGGAAGTTGCATGTTTTTTTCCCTCAAAATCGCCTTTGTTAGATTAGTTACATGTCCTTATGTTATTATTTAGTTAAGTTGAGGGTACTCTAGTCATTTTGTAATGCCAGGTTTTATATAAATATATTTGTTAGTGTAAAGTAATTCAATAACTCTAAACCATATATTATTATCAGTCCCGGTCTCTCTTCTCTCTTTCTTCCTCTCAAACCATAACCCTAAATTTCTCCAATTTACATTCTAACTTGGTATCAAAGCAATCCATTCTCCATCAAATATTGTTCAACAGATTCTGGGCATTGATCTAAGGTGACCAAGACGCGTTGGCGTCATCATCCGTACGATGACGTCAGCACTGTACGGATGAGTTTTTCACCCTAGGTTCGAAATTGCCTCCTGATGATGATGGTATTTTTTGTGGATTTTTTTGATCACTCCTTATGGGTGTTTTCTATTTGTGAATGGGTGTTTTCTATTTGTGAATAATTTTCGAGTTTTTTGGTGTCCCTCTTTGAATCTGCGATTTGCCTTGTTTCCAGTTGTTTCTACCTATTGAAATCTACTCTATAGGTGCTGAAAATCACCTGTTTGTGGTTATTTGACCTTAGTTTGTTCATTTGTTGCTGTTGGGTAGCTTTTTTGATCTCTATTGTGGTTTGATAGTGCTGTTTGTGTCTCACCCACCTCTGTTCTTCATGGGTCATTGGTTTTGAGCTCTTTTTGTTGCCTTTCTTGGTTGTTTGTGGGTGCTGGTACTTTACTTCTTGTTGCTAGTTCATCTTCCCTTTATTGTTGACTTGCGAGATTGTTATGGCTGAGCCTGAGGCCAAGGCAACACCATCTATGGCTGTGAGTAAGGATGATGAGATGCCTAAATCTATTACTACAAAAAAAATTGAATGGTGCAAATTATATGGCTTGGGCTCATGCAGTTAAAGTTTTCTTTTGTGGCAAGAAGAAGTTATATTATCTTACTGAACTACCTCCTGCTACTGATCATCCTACTTATGATGATTAGTGTAGTGAGGATTTATGTGTTATGGGGTGGATATGGCATTAGCTTAAACCCTCATGTTGCTACTACTGTGGAATTTTGTGACACTACTAAGCAAATTTGGGACGCCCTTACTGAATCATTTTCGAATTAGAGTAATGTCTTTTGAGTTTATGAGTTATATGAGCAGATTTTTGCTAGTCGCCAATCTGACGGGTCTCTTTTTGGTTATTATAGTGGTCTTAAGAACTTGTGGGATCAATTATTGCAACACAGACCCTTCACTACTGATTTGGCCACACATAAGCAACATTGGGAAGAGTTTATGATGGCCTCTTTACTCTCCGGCATGGATTCTGATTTGCGGGGGTTCAAGGATCAGATTCTCGCCAGTGAGGCTCTACCTTCTGTTGCTAATGCCTATTCTCGACTATTGCGTTCTTCATTGAAACAGACTCAACCCACCTCTTGTTCCTCTTCCTTGTTCTCTTCTGCATTAGTCTCTAGCAGTGGTGACCGTGGACCTAGTCGAGGGAGTTTACATGGACCCTCTGGTCAATGGGGCTTTTATTCTGGCTCACGAGGCACTCGTGGAGGTAGTTCTCATGGTGGTGGCTCTCATGGTGGTGGTTGTAGTGGACTTGGCTCTAGTTCTAGTGGTGATTGCACTTGTACTCATCGTGGTGCCCTAGGCCATACTAAACCTTGGTGTTGGCAAAAATATGGCAAACCTAACCATGTGCATCAGGTTATGGATACTCCATCCTCATTTTCCACTGGCCCTGTTGCTTCTCCAGGTGATTCTCATGAGACACTCACTACTCAGATTAGCGAGCTTACTGCCCTTGTCCAGTCTCTTCGGCCTGGTCTACCTTCATTCTCTACAGCTACTACGACTAGTTCAGGAAATATTGCATGTGTGGCTCAGTCCACCCAACCTTGGCTCATAGATTCTGACGCTAGTTTCCATATCTCTGGTAATGCCTCTCTTTTTGATACTCTTAGGCTTGTTACTCATGATATTATACTTGCTCTAAGGGTTCCTTAGCTATACTTTGAATCTTCATATGGTAACTAATGTGCCTTACCATACTAACATCTGGCACAAATTGTATCTTCTTGAATATCTAGTTGAGAAAGGCCCTTGAGCATAGACTTCTTCATCATTATTTTTAGCTTGTGATAGCTCACGTGACGCAAGCGTGCATGCCAAAGGTCTGCAATCTCATTCTTTCGAGCCTTATCTACGTAGGCTGATTTTGCTGACATTACGTAGATAGACTCCAACCGTCTTCCCTCCATGATTGGATTACCAGATAACTTAACCTTTTGGTAAACCTTCAAATTCTCTGGGCCGAATAACACATAGTTGCCCGA